CTAGTACTGACATCAAAAAATAAGTAGATGATAGATATAGACAAAAGTAATGAAATATAAGCATGCAGGAAGTATCTTACCTGAAGAAACACTTTCAGTGGTGTGGTATCTTATAAAGCCTGAGGACTAGATATAGATCTGGATTCAAATTCTGACTTTTTCACTTGCTGGATATGAGAACAAAAGGGGCAAAAATTTATTTGTGGCTTTGTTGGCCAGATCTGTAATGTAGGAATGGGCAGCCACGTGCATAATTTTCCTGTGGAAATCCAATATAATTAATGGACTGGCATAGGCTTGTTGTGCAAGGCTACAGTTCTTTCTCCTGAAATTGCATAATGGCTGGAGAGATGTAGTTGTCTGCAAAACATTCTGAACATTCTCATTTTACTTGGGTGTGTGGATATTATATTGCCCACAAGGTAGGAGTCTGCAGTTAAAAAAAGCAACAAAGTAAGTGTTGGTCAGTTAGTCACAAAGCATTTGTTAAGGAAAGAAGCCAAGAACATCAGAGTTCCATCTTTTCAATCGTGTGTGTGTGTGTGTGTGTGTGTGTGTGTGTGTGTGTGTGTGTGTGTTTATAGCAAGAGGGGAGTTATGGCCTCCACACCAGAATTCTTCACTTGTACAAGAAGCAACCTAGTTACCTATTATGGCATCTTCATAAACTGTGCTAATGCATATGGAAAACTTCTTCAAGATTCTATCTATTTATTCACTCACTCTGTGCTGGTACTGGGACTTGAACTCAGGTCCTTAAGCTTTCCGTTGGCCTTTTCTGCTCAAGGCTGGTGCTCTACCACGTGAGCCCAATCTCAACTTCTGGCTTTTTGCTGGGTTAATTGGAGAGAAGAGCCTCATGGATTTGTCTTCCCAAGGCTGGCTTCAAATTGTGATCCTCAGATCCCAGCTTTCAGAGTGACTAGGATTACAGGCATGAGCTACCAGTGCCTGGCTTAAGGTTCATTGTACATTTCTGTGTGATGGTGGGCTTTGGACACTTTCAGAGATCTTGCATGAAACTGAGCAGACATGAGCGCCATTCCTGCATTCTTTCACATTAAATACTATGAAAACACATAACATTTTTATTTTACTTTTTAGGTCTTTACCAGTTAGACTGTTCCTAGGATTAGAACCACACATATAGGTCTCTTTTAATTTAGTGGGTGATGAGCCTCATGTCCAAAAACAAAAACAAAGAATATGAATCTTGCCAGGTGCAGTCACTCAGGCCTATAATCCTAGCTATTCAGGAGGCTGAGATCTGAGAATCATGGTTCAAAGCCAGTCCAGGCAGGAAAGTTCATGAGACTCTTTTTGGATTTTTTTTTTTTTTGCTAGTCATGGGGCTTGAATGCTGAGCCTGGGCACTATCCGTCAGCTCTTCAGCTCAAGGCTAGCACTATACCACTTGAGCCACTTGCAGTTTTCTGAGTGGTTTATTGGAGATAAGAGTCTCACGGAGTTTCCTGCCTGGGCTAGCTTTGAACTGTGATCCTCAGCCTCCTGAGTAGCTAGGATTATAGGCATGAGACACTGATGCCCAGCTCCTGAGACTCTTATTTCCAGTTAACCACCAGGAAACTGGAAGTGGAGCTGTGTGGCTTAAAGTGGTAGAGTACTAGCCTTGAGTGAAAAAGCTCAAGGACAGTGCCCACACCTTGAGTTCAACACGACCAACAACAACAAAGAGTAAGAATCTTGTGAAAGTTATCATACCTAGACAATCTGGGCTGCAGCTCTTGGGGAAGAGATAATTCAGTGTTGATCAAGTTTATAAGGAACTTGAAATTACCAAGAAGGTTTATGGAACCCAAGCCACAGTAACTATTGTATTTGTTTGGATTTTATTGCTAAGCCTTTTGCATGATAATATTGCTTTGTTAACTAGTTACAACAGAACTTCATTCACTTACACAGGAAATTTAATTGACATTCATCAGCCAAGAGTATTGGATTGGGATTTCTGAGCTGTGGAGAATATGCTCAGGTCTTCCATTGATTTAGAAGCACATCAGGTTTATGTTGCAACCTTCATACTTTGTCAGGTGTGAAATGTTTATCAATAGCCCCAAAGTGTTCAGGATTTGTGCAGTCTTTTCTTTTACTCGTTAATTAATTAATTAAATTATTCGATTGATTGATTTAGTGCCAGTCCTGGGGTCAGGATTTGGGCACTGTCCTTTTTTTTTTTCCACTCAAGGCTGGCACTGTACCATTTGAGCCATAGTTCCACTTCTGGCTTTTTAGGCTTTTTGCCTACCCTGGCTTCAAATCATGTTTTCCACATCTCAGCAGGGATGAAAGGCATGAGTTACTGGCATGTGGCTGAAGCCTTCATTTACTTACATATTTTTGACTATAGAAGTGCATACTAGCAGGGCTCAAATGGCTCAAGCCTGTCATCCTAGCTATTCAAGAAACCAGCCAGGGCAGGAAAGCTGGTAAGACTTTCATTAAACACCCAAAAAGCCAGAAGTGGTGCTGTGGCTCAAGTGGTAGAGTGCTAGCATTGAGCAAAAGAAGCTCAAGGACCGTGCTCAGGCCCTAAGCTCAAGCCCCTGGGACCTAAAAAAATAAAAAATTAAAAATGACATACTGTTGAGATCCAACACATGGCCTGGTATATTACGTGCTATGGGCTTTGCAAGCATCCCTATTGCTTTAGAGACTTCTAAAACAAAAAGTGAGAAAGAAGAAAAATGAATTTGCCGGGGACAGCCCAGTGATTTCCTTTATGATTTTTGTTCAAGATGCAAACAGAACTGGGTATTGGTGGTTCACAACTTGTAATTCCAGCTACCTAGGAGGCCGAGAGCTGAGATTTGCAGCTCAAACACATGTCGGTGAGATGTTTATCTCCAATTCACCAGCAAAAAGCCAGAATTCAAGGTGTTGGCTCAAATGGTAGAGCACCAGCCTTAAGCAGATGGAGATGGTGAAGCCTTGACTTCAAGCCCCAGAGCTGTTACACACACACACACACACACGCGCGCACACACACACACACACACACACACACACACACACACACACTTAGACACTTAGACAGGTATTATTACTGAAAAACTAAAACAGAGGTAGCTCAATCTGGGAGCTGGGTGGGTTCAGAAATGAACTGTAGGATCAGGGCTGGGAGGTGGAGGCAGATCTGGCATGTGGGTGGTGGAGTTTATGGGCTTTCTGCACAGACCATCCCCAAGAGAAAGGAGGGAGGGGCTGAGCAGACTTTGGACCCGCAAATTTTTGTTCAGGTTGGGATTTGCTGTTGTAGGCTTGGGGCACAGTTTGCTGTGTTTGAAATGTGCTTACTTACCACTGTCCAGATGGAACATTCTGGCTTTTTTTTTTTTTACCCTTTCTGGAAAAAGCTTACTTATCACCTTTGATCTGTGAAATCTTCCCCTCTTTTCCTCATCGCCCTAACGCGGAGTCGCTCAGTCTCTTCTGAAGAAAGCTTTCCAGCCATTCCATGAGACGTATTCCATGTTAGAATGGACTGAATATTTAACAGAAGTTCATACACATGTGTATGTATGTCAAGGCCTGTGGAAAAATAAAAAAGGTTTGGAAGTGTAGGCACCAAAGAAAGTGATCACAGATGTAAAGGGAGGAACATAGGTTCACAGGGATGTTTATTTGCTGTTGATATTTTACTGTGGTCAATACGTGTTCAATTTAATTTTCTATCATTTGGATTTATTTATTTATTCTTATGTATTTATTTTTATGGCCATACTAGGACTAGAACTCAGGGTCTTGTAGTCTCAAGTGGCTTCTTTACTCAAGGCTGGCACTTCTAGTACATGAGCCACAGATCTATTTCTGGGTTTTTGCTAGTTCATTGGAGAGAAGAGTCTCTTGGACTTTCCTTCTTGAGCTGGTTTTGAACAGGGGATCCTCAGATCTCAGCTTCCTAAGTACTTAGGATTACAGGTGTGAGTTACCAGCAGCTGGCCCATTTGAAATTTCTAATTCAATATTAGGATTGTGAGAGAATCTAAGAGAGCAAAGGCATTGCATTGGTCTTATACTTTTCCTCCCCTCCTTACATGCCATCAGAGTCAACCCAGTTTTGGATGGTGTTCTCCCCTCCTCTGTCCTCTTACTGGTTTTTTTTTTTTTTTTTGCTGGTCATGAGGCCTGAACTCTGGGCCTGGGCGTTGTCCCTCAGCTCTTCAGCTCAAGGCTAGTGCTCTACCACTTGAGCCACAGCGCCACTTCTGGCTTTTTCTGCTTATGTGGTGCTGAGGAATCGAACCCAGGGCCTCAAGCCAAGCACTCTACCACTGAGCCACCTTCCTAACCATGCTTTTTTTTTTTTTTTTTTTGCCAGTCCTGTGGCTTGAACTCTGGGCCTAGGCACTGTCCTTGAGCTCCTTATGCTCAAGGCTAGTGCTCTACCGCTTGAGCCACAGTGACACTTCTGGCTTTTTCTGTGATTTAATTGGAGATAATAGTCTCACAGACTTTCCTGCCCAGGCTGAGATCAAGTGTGAGCCACAGATGCTTGGCTTCTCTTACTGCTTTATTCTTTCCTAAATCCCCCATGATTGGATGGGCAGGAAAGAGACAATAATAAACCTTCCTCAATCGCAGACGACTTGGTGGCATAGATTAGAACAGGTATTATTATTTTGTTGTTGTCATTATTATTAATTATGTGCTGTTCTTGGGGCACGAACTCAGGACCTAGGTGCTATACCTCAAGGCTGGTGTTCTACCACGTGAGCCACATAGCTCCACTTCTGGCTTTTTTGGTGGTTCATTGGAGATAAGAGTTTCACCAACTTTCCTGCCTGGGCTGGTTTTGAACCACGATCTTCAGATCTCAGTTTCCCAAGTAGCTAGGTTTGCAGGAATGAGCCACCGGTGTCTGACAAGCACGGGCTTTTCCAGATATTTCCTTATGGAGTGGTTATGAATCTGAGCAGGCAGATGGAGGAGAGAGACTGCTCCATTTCCTGGCGTAACCTTGGATATCCTTTCTCCTGCAGGTAGACTCCAGCACTGAAGTTGTGAAGGATGGGTAAAGACTTCCGCTACTATTTCCAGCATCCCTGGTCTCGCATGATCGTGGCTTACTTGGTGATCTTCTTCAACTTCTTAATATTTGCGGAGGATCCTGTTTCTCACAGCCAAACCGAAGCCAATGTAATTGTTGTTGGGAACTGTTTTTCTTTCGTAACAAATAAATACCCTAGAGGAACTGCCTGGAGGATTCTCAAGGTGCTCCTATGGCTTCTTGCCATTCTCATAGGACTCATTGCTGGCAAATTTGTGTTCCATCAACGTTTGTTTGGTAAGTACCCATTGCCCATGGAATGAACTACTGCTAATTGTTGAAATTCTCTTCTCCAAGCAGAGCTTTCTGATTCCTTTTTTTCTTTCCCTTTTTCTTTTATTGCCAAGCTGTAAAGTTCATTTCCAACATAGTGTGCTGTGAATGTCGCCGTTGCATTGGTTTACCCTTTGTCCCTTGACTCACCATTTCTGTGATTTCCCCTTCCCTTCCTCAAATCAGATTAAACTTATATACAGGACAAAGGGTACCACAATCAAAAACATTGACAACAGGGGATAAACCAAAGGAAAAAAAAAAACAACAAGAAGAGAAAAAAGAAATAGCTACAAACAATACACGAAAATCCCCAAACCAAAACACAAAACACAAACCTCCTGTTTCCATATCTTGGAGTTCATTTTGATTAGCCACATTTTGTATGGTCATATGTTCATGAGCTTCCTGATTTCTAAAGGCCTGTTTAGGATATCTTCTAGTTTTTTTTACCACTCTTAATTTGTGATAGCATTGCTGTAACTAAATGCTTCAAGTATTCTTTTGCATGGTATACGTTTTCTACTATCATATGAGGCAAAATTGCAACTAAATTTCACGTGAAAAATGTTTTATTAAAAGCCAGGTACTAGGCTGGACACTGTGGCTCATGCCTCAAACCTAGAGACTCAAGAGGCTGAGATCTGAGAATCTAGGTTCAAAGCTAGCCTGAGCAGACAAGTCTATGAGATTATTATTTCCTATTGGTCACTAAAAAGTCTGAAGTGTAAGTGTGGTAGAATGACAGCCTTTAATGAAAAAGCTGATCAAGACTACAAGGCCCTGAGTTTGAGGATCACAGTTTGAAGACAGCCTGTGCAGGAAAGTCCATTTGACACTTTTTTGAAAAATTTTATTTTAGGGCTGGGAAGGTGGCTCAGTGGTAGAGTGCTTGCCTGGCATGCATGAGGCCCTGGGTTTGATCTCTCAGCACCACATAAACAGAAAAAGCTGGAAGTGGCGCTGTGGCTGAAGTGGTAGAGTGCTCGGTTTGAGCTGAAGAGCTGAGGGACAGCGCCTAGGCCCACAGTTCAGGCCCCACGACAGACCAAAATTTTTTTAATTGTAAAGAAGCTGTACAGAGGGGTTACAATTACACGAGCAAGGTAATGAGTACATTTCTTATCAAGCATTGTTGCCTCCTCCTTTGTTTTTCCCCTACCATCCCTTCCCTCCCACCTCCTCAACTACACTCCCTCCCACCCCCTTGTGCCTAAATCGTAAAGTTCTTTTTTCGACATAACGACATAACGTCTTGTACATCTCATTATTGCAATGGGTTAACTTGTATCACTATTTAAACAATTTGTTTTTTCCCTTCCCCTCCCCCAATTATACCAACATTAAATACAGTGAAAACAGGGGTTACCCGGGTGGGAGGGATATACAAAGCAACCAAGACATCACATGGTACCTTATAAATACGAGTACATTTCTTATCGAGCATTGTTACCCCTTCCTCCCTTATTCCTCCTGCCCCCAGCCTCCGCCAGCCCGTTGGACTCTTATCTCCAATATACAGCAACAAGCCAGAAGTAGAGGGATGGGTCAAGTGATAGCCTTGAGCCAAAAAATCTGAGGGACAGTGCAAGGCCCTGAGTTCAAGCCCCAGTGAAACACACACACACACATACACACACACACACACACACACACACACACACACACACACACACACACACACACACACACACACACCCTTGAATGATAGCGATTTGAATTGGTGAACAGTTTTTTCCACGAGAGAGTTCAGTCACCTGCGTTGAACTTGAGGTGATTCATGTGGTAGGGTACTGCTCAGATTTACTGTATTGATTAAACAAAACAAAGCAAAAAACAAACCAAAACAACCCACTATCGATCTGCTTGCCAGGAGGCTCTGGCTGGCCCTGGACAAAAGATGAGAGAAATAATGATCTGGAATAGTGGAACAAGGAAGGGTCTGAAGACTTAAAGGAAATAAAATTGGTGCATTGTGAATAAGGAAAGGGAAAAGATTGGTGTGTGTGTGTGTGTGTGTGTGTGTGTGTGTGTGTGTGTGTGTGTGTGTGTGTGTGTGTGTGTGTGGTTTATTGCCATATCATAAAAGAAATCCAGTGATTGGTTAATGGTAATTCCTAAGCAAGATGTGGCTGTTGAAGGATGGTGGCTAAGACAGGCCCAATGACCCAGAATATATGTAGGAATGCAGTGTTAGGTGATCTGTGCACCAGATACTGAACAAGCAGAAATCATACAGCTAGAAGTTAAGGATGCTAGGTGGTCGCTGGGAGAGAATCAGTTTCCCAAAATGGGTAAGGAGTGCTGAATTAACAGATATCCAAACAATAGATTCCATTATAATAGATATCCATCACAAGCAATGGTGGCTGGATGTGTTTATAACCCATTTAAAGTAAGAGGAAGATTCTCCGTGTAGCACGCTATGACAAATGGACCACTACTCAGGCTGGAGAAAGGGTATCTGTCCTTATTAAAGATGATTGAAGGAGTAACATTAATGAAAGTGCATTGTACGTTTAAACTAATACATTGAATTGAAACCTCTTTGTATGACTACTTAAGGATAATTTTTAAGATGACTATTGATGTAGGTAAGGTAATGTCATTAATAACAAAGGCTGGTTTCATTTTACTTTTTAAAACTTCCTTATTGTTATTGTAAAAGTGATGTACAGAGAGGTTACATAAGTCAGGAAAAGAGTACATTTCTTTTTGGACAGTGTCATGCCTTATCTCTCTCTCTCTCCCAATTTTTCCTTCCTGTCTCCACCCACAAGTTGCAGTTCATTTTCCACATAATATCTAGTGAGTACCACTGCTGCATTTGTTCACCCTTTATCCCTCCATTTCTGCGTCCCCCTTACCCTCCCAAAGACAGATAAATGAACAAACAAAAGGAAAAGAAAATAAAAACAGCAACCAGGAAAAAAACACTCTTGCTTGCATTTGCTGGAGTTCAGTTTGATAAATATTATTTTATATGGTCAGATGCGCATAGCTATTCTGCCTTTGTGACCCCTCCTAAGATCATCCTGCTTTAGCCTCTTTGTGTGAATGCCTAGAGACATGTGTAATTTATCATGTCCCCAGTGTGTTTTAAGCCAGACCCAAAGAAACATAGGTTGCATGGTTTTCCTCATTTGTGGTTACTAGAATGTGCCTATAAATCTATAAGTAAACACACTGGATGGTAAAAGAAAAAGGCTGGTTTTATTACTGTTATGTTTTGTCAGTTTATTCAGTTGCAAACTCCTACTTCTTATACTAAAAAATCACATTGCAATCATGGTTTGCATTTTAATTCTCCCGCTGGTATAAATGTTAACCTCGAAAAAGTATTGCAGATTTCTTATTTTCAGTACAAATTATTTTATTATCCTCTCTCTATATATAATGTATAACACTGTACATATACAGTCTATACATGTATAGATATGTATAGATATTGTGTGTGTGTGTGTGTGTGTGCACTGATACTGAAGCTTGAACTCAAGACCCATACACTATCTTGGAGTTTTTTCACTCAAGGCTGGTGCTCTACCACTTGAGCCACTTCCAGCTACTTCCGGCTACTTCCAGCTTTTTGGTGGTTAATTGGAGATAAGAGTCTCATGAACTTTCCTGACCAAGATGGCTTGAAACGTTGACCCTCAGATCTCAGCTTCCCGAGTACTAGAATTACAGGTATGAGACACCAGACCCTGGCTCTATTATTTCTCTCTCTCTCTCTCTCTCTCTCTCTCTCTCTCTCTCTCTCTCTCTCTCTCTCTCTCTCTCTCTCCCTCCTTTCCTCCCTCCCCTTTTTGGTTGCCCCTTCTGAGGTTTGAACTCAGGGCCTGGACACTTGAAATTTTCTGCTCAAGCCTAGTGCTCTACCACTTGGCCCATGGCTCAGATTTCCTATATTCATTTTAAATAGGCCTATATTTAAATCCAGTTCATACAAGCCTGTAGTAGGGGATGATGATGATGGTGATGATGGTGGTGATGATGGTGTATGTTTATTGAAAGAAATGTGACCGTCAATTATACTTACAGAGTTTTATGTTGAAACAGTGTTGAGATGGCTTATAAAATAACAAACATGAGTTTATGGCATCAAATAAACTGTTTCATTTTTTTTTTTTGGTGATCCTTCAATAGGATTCCAGTCATCATTATTAAGTAATATGGTACTATCCCTTTCATTTCCTAAACTCTTTAAGCTTTCCCTCATCTATTTGATTCTGTTTTATCTTCTTAATCTGCCAGGTGCAGCATCTGAAAATTCTTCTAAGCATTTTCCTTTTGCACATTTAGCCACGTACAGAAAATAACTGCTCATTGTTGCAGTAATACCTGTGTTTTCAGCTCTGCCTGAAGCCCCACAAGAGAGGAGATTATGATGCTGTTTTTTACCCTTCCACCCCCAGTGCCCCCAAGCGATGCTTGGCACAACAGTGTTCAATAAATTCCAATGAATAAATAAGTGCACATTTCTTTATCTTTTACATGTTGACTTTGCTTGCCTTTTTATTGTCAGCTACAGAAGAGCATTCATTTGTTCATTTATAAAATATGAGGGCAAGGCATTTAAAATCTGATTGAAGAGACAGGATACATAGGCATGAAAAATTAACTACTCTGATAATAGGAGGAAGTGCCTATCTGGTCCAGACCCTTCCTGGCCAGGAAGGTGGGAGGGGTGTTGGGGAGGGCCTTCCATGCTCATGGTAGAAGACACAGAGATTTCATGACAGAGATTGGGGCTCAGCTAGGTGGTGTTAGCAGAGGAGGTGAGGACAGCCCAGCTTTTTTGTTTTTGAGAGAGAGGGAAAGCTGAGGCTTATCTGGACTGAAGCCATGAGAGGTTTGTGTTAAGATAGAGCAGTAGAGAGTGGAAGGGTAGGTTGGATTTTAATTCTTTCACTCATTTGTGACCATCCTAGGGCTTGAAATCAGCTTTGTTTGCTCTCTTAGCA